AGGGAAGGGAAAGGGGAAGGGTAAGGGAAGGGAAGGGAAGGGGAAGGGGAAAGGAAGGGAAGGGAAGGGAAGGAGGGAGGGAGGGAGGGGGGAAGGAAGGAAGGAAGGAAGCTAGCTAGCTGCAGGCCAAATATCCTTGATAAACTCAGATGCAAAAATCCTTAGCAAAATACTAGCATCAAATCCAACAGCATGATCCTTCAGATTATTCACCATGATCAAGTAGAACCCATCCCAGGGATGCAGGATGGTTCAATATACACAAATCAATAAACATGATAGACCACATACCAAGTGAAGGACAAAAATCATATACCTATCTCAATAAATACCAAAAAAATTATAAAATTCAACAGCTTTTCCTGATAAAAAATTCTGAACAAACTAGATGTGAAAGGAACACCTCCCAACACAATAAAGGCCATATATAATAAGTCAACTTTTAATATCATATATTGGATAGGTAAAGCTGAAGGCTTTCTAAGACTTGGAACAAGAAAAGGATGCCCACTGTCACCACCTTTATTCATCACAGTATTGTAGTCCTAGCCAGAACAATTAGGCAAAAAAGAGGCAAAGGGCAAGGCCAATGTTGTAGCATAGAGGGTAAGCCACTGCCTGCAATGCAGGTATTCTACATGGGTCCTGGCTCCTCCATTTCAGATCCAGTTCCCTGATAATGGCCTGGACAAAGCAGTGAAAGACAGCCAGAGTACTTGGGCCCACGCCACCCATGTGGAAGACCTGTAAAGAAGCTCCTGCCTCCTCGCTCCAGCCATATGGGGAGTGAACCAGCAGATGGAAGATCCTCCCCCCCAATCTGTCTGTCTTTACCCCTCTCTGTGTAACTCTTTTCAAATAAATAAATAAATAAAAAAGAAACAAAAGGCATCAAAATCAGAAAGGAGAAGTCAAACTGTTGCTGTTTGCTGATGACATGACCCTATGTGTAAAAAACCTCCAGGGCCGGCACCGTGGCACAGTGGGTAAAGCCACTGCCTGCAGTGCCCACATCCCACTTGGACACCGGTTCAAGACTTGGCTGCTCCATTTCCGATCCAGCTCTCTGCCATGGCCTGGGAAAGCAGTAGAAGATGGCCCAAAGTCTTGGGCCCCTGCACACGCGTGGGAGACCTGGAAGAGGCTCCTGGCTTCGGAACGGCGCAGCTCTGGCCTTTGCGGCCATATGAGGAGTGAACCAGAGGATAGACGACACCTCCCTCTCCCTCTCCCTCCCTCCCTCTCTCTCTCCCTCTCTCTCTCTCTCTGCCTTTCCTTCTCTCTCTGTGTGTAACTGTAACTTTCAAGTAAAATAAATATATCTTTTTTATAGGAAACTTTTATTTAATAAATATAAATTTCGAAAGTAGAACTTTTGGATTTTAGCTATTCTTTCTCCCATAACCACCCTCCCACTCACAAACCATCCCATCTCCTACTCCCTGATGAGGTGGAGGTTGCGATTGATTTTAAAAATATAGGGGATTGAGTTATTTTTTGAGGAGGATGAAGTAGGTTTAATTCGAGAAGACTCTATAGGGGTAGCGGTATTGTATAGCTATGGGAGTTGATTAACGGTTGTTGCTGGTTGATCTTTGTGAGCATTTTTATTGTTATTGAAATTACTCGTGGGGGCTAAGCTAAAACAAACAGTGCTAAGAGCAGAGAGATCAGGAAGGATAAAGAATAGAATCTGATGAGTCCTTTTTGTGTAGATACAGAGGTTGACGCAGAAATTTGAATGTCTGAGATATTTTTGGAATTGCTTTTTCAGTTCATGATATGTCTAAGAGTAGTGTAGCTACGTTTTGACTTGCTGAAAGATTTAGGTAAGGTAAAAGCTCCCATCCCATTCACATCAAGATTCATTTTCAATTATCTTTATACACAGAAGATCAATTTAGTATATATTAAGTAAAGATTTCAACAGTTTGCACCCACACAGAAACACAAAATGTAAAGCACTGTTTGAAGACTAGTTTTACCGTTAATTCTCATAGTACAACACATTAAGGACAGAGGTCCTACATGGGCAGCAAGTGCACAGGGACTCCTGTTGTTGATTTAACAATTGACACTCTTATTTATGAAGTCAGTAATCACCCGAGGCTCTTGTCATGAGCTGCCAAGGCTATGGAAGCCTCTTGAGTTCACAAATTCCAACCTTAAAATAAATAAATCTTAAAAAAGAAAAAAGGGGCCGGCACCGTGGTACAGTGGGTTAATGCTCTGACCAGAAGCGCTGGCATCCCATATGGGCACCAGTTCAAGACCCGGCTGCTCCACTTCCCATCCAGCTCTCTGCTATGGCCAGGGAAAGCAGCAGAAGATGGCCCAAGTCCTTGGGCCCCTGCACCCGTGTGGGAGACCCAGAAGAAGCTCCTGGCTCCTGGCTTCGGATTGTCACAGCCCCGGCCATTGTGGCCAATTGGGGAGTGAACCATTGGATGGAAGACCTCTCTCTCTCTCTTTCTCTCTCTCTCTCTGCGCCTCTCCTCTCTCTGTGTAACTCTAACTTTCAAATAAATAAATAAATCTTAAAAAAAAAAAAAGAAGAAAACCTCTAAGAACACATCAAAAGGCTGTTAGAATAAAAAAGTCCAATAAAGTTGCAAGATAAAGTTAACATACAAAAATCAGTAGTGTTATTATACACCATAGCAAATCATCTAAAAAAGAAATCAAGAAAACAACTCCTTTATTGATCATTACCAAAAGAGTAAATAAAACACCCAGGAATAAACTGAATCTGAAGAGGACATAAAGAAATGGAACAGACACAAAGAAATGAATGGAAACACATCCCCTGCTCATGAAATGGAACAATCAATATGCTAAACTGTGCCTACTACCCCTCAAACTGATTTAGAGACTCAAGGCAACACATACCAGAAATACCAGTGGCATTTTTCACAGAGTCAGAAAAAAAATACTATTAAAGGGGCTGGCATTGTGGCACAGTAGGCTAAGCCTCTGTCTGTAGCACCAGCATCCCGTATGGTTGCCGGTTCGTATTCCAGCTGCTCTTCTTCTGATCCAGCTCTCTGCTTATGTCCTGGGAAAGCAGTAGATGTCCCAAGGGCTTGGGTCCCTGCACCCATGTGGGAAACCTGGAAGAAGCTCCTGGCTCCTGGCTTCAGATCAGCACAGCTCCTGCTGTTGCAGCCATTTGGGAAATGAACCACTGGGTGGAAGACCTTTCTATCTGTCTCTCCTTCTGTAACTATCTCAAATAAATAAATAAATCTTTTAAAAGATACTATTAAAATTTTTATGAAACCACAAGACTCCCAAATAGCCAAAACAATCTTGAGCAAAAAGAATACCTGACTTTGAAATACATTATAAAAGTACCATAATTAAAACAGTATGGTATCGGCATAAAAACAAATCCACAGACTGATGTAACAGAATAGAGATCCTAGAAACAGACCCACAACTGTAGCCTAGTGATCTTTGACAAAGATGCTAAGAAAATGTATTAGGAAAGGTAATCTTTTGAATAAATGGTACCGGGATAATTGGGTATCAACATGCAGAAAAATGAAACTAGAACTGTATCTCCCCCCATGTACAAAAATCATCTCAAAATGGGTTAATGACCCAAATGTAAGACCCAAAACTTTTAAACTATTAAACAAAAACAATGGAGAAACACTTCAGGACACCAGAATGGGCAGTGTTTTTGTTTTTTTTTTTTGTTTTTTTTTTTTGTTTTTCCAACCAGAACCCAAAAGCAAAAACAGACAAATGGGATTGCTTCAAACTAAAGAGCTTCTGTACAGCCAAGGAAACAATCAGCAGAGTAAAGAGACAACTTACAGAATGGCAGAAAATATTTGCAAGCTCTATATGTCTGACAGAATATCCAGAATATATAAGGAATTCAATAGCAAAAAAACAAAAAAATCTAATTTAAAAATGGTCAGTAGACCTAATCAGACATTTCTCACAGGAAGACACACAAATGGTCAACAAGTACATGAAAAAATGCTCAACATCACTAATCATTAGGGAAATGCAAATCAATGCATTCATCAATACAATCTCATCAATACAAAGATCTAATTTCACTCCAGTTAGACAGACTCATCAAAAAGACAAAAGGTGAAAAGTGCTGTTGAAAATTTATCTACATGAATGTAAATTAGTACAGCCACTGTGGAAAACAGCATGGAGATTCCTCAAAAAACTAAAAACAGGGGGCAAGCATTTGGTACAGCAGTTGAGACACCCACATCTCCTATCAGAGTGCCTCAGTTGGAGTCCTGGGCCCACTTCCAATTCCGGTTTCCTGCTAAGGCAGACAGGAGTCAGCCAATGACAGCTTTAATTCCTTGGACCCTACCACCCATGAGGAGATCCAGACTGACTTCCAGTCTTCTGGCTTTGGCCTGTCCCTGCTGTTAGGTATGTCTAGCTCTATTTCTTTTTCCCTTTGCCTTTCTCTCTTTCACTCCTCTTTTTCCCCATCTCTTTGCCTCAAATAAAAAGGAAAGATACATAAATAAGAATAGCTGCTATAAATGACCCCTCAACAGCCTTCCACGCAATCCAAGAGGGGTAACAGGAGGCAAGTTGACAAGCAAGTAGCTGCCTACCCTGAAAACAACCTTTGAGGAAATGAAATACAAAAGTCAATTCAAATGAATTTTAACAGCAGGAAAGGCTAGAGCACAAGAAACTATTTAGGGAGGACTGGCAAAATGTTCAGAAAGGCGTTCTGGGCAACAAAATGGCAATGTCCTGGATCAACCCAGAGGGAAGAGAGGTAGAGCCAACAACCAACCCTCTCAAGGAACACCAAAGCTTACAAAAGAACAGGAGCAATCTTTTGCCCCAGGGGAAAAAAAAAAAAGGAAAAAACAAAGATTTCAAAAACTGTTACTGAAATAGGATAACAATGGGTTAAGAAAATGACTTACAAGAGCAATAAAAATCTCTTGAACACACTCATACAATATTCTAGAAAACATAAGGAATGAAGAAGAATGCCATACCTTTCCCCTTCGTCCATTTCCTCCATCTTGATCTTCCCACTGCCAGTCCACTCCTCGTACCACTCTGGCACCTGCAAAGATTCCTCTTGCTGTAATCTTCTTAGATTTTCTACGAGACTCTAACAAAACCCTAAAAGTAAAATTATTTCAAATTTATGTCAAAATGGGAACTAATTTATCCTTAAAAACAAATCATAAAAAGATTGTTTCCAAAGTAGAAAAGATTCTTCTTTGTTCTAGTTAATACCAAAATAGCACAATACAGGAACACCTTTTACTTTCCACAGGCAAAGATGATGATAATAGCAATTGTAATAATGATGACAATAATCTTTGAGCTTTTATTATATGTAAAAGCACTTACACAGTTGTAGCATGTGCAACACTCTTGAATAAAAAGGTACAAAGGAGAAGATTGAGTCTCAAACAAGTTAAGTAATCTGCCAAGGTCACAGAAGTCAAAAAGTAATGAAATCATTACATAAACCAAATCTAACCTCTTCATATAACAATTCTCTTCACTATTTTAGAGGTGGCAAACTCAAATCCTTGCAGCTGCCAGTCAAGTAATATCAATCAGGGCCTATGGAAGAAAGCCCTACAAAGACAAATAGCCAATAGCACTTGTTCTCAGGTTTAGAAGACAAGAGTAGTAGTTGATTTTAGTCAACTCAACAGCATATTCTGTTCAGAGATTGCCAAGTGTTTTTCTGCTTCAGTCAACTGCTGCCAAGAAAAATTAAGCCCAGCATTGGGAATCTTCTAAGTGCATATGCATTTTCAAAATCCATGAACTTTTTTGTGTATGTAGAATTACCTGATTGCTAAAGGGTTAGCAAAAAAGGGGTCCGTGAGCTAACAATTATTCAAAAATTTAGAGGGGGTCAGCATTGTGGTATAGGTGGTAAAGCTGCCACCGGCAGCACCTGCATCCCAACTGGGTGCCAGTTCGAGTCCCAGCTGCTCCACTTCCAATGCAGCTCCTTTTTAATGCCTGAGAAAGCAGCAGGGGTCAGCCCAAGTGTTTAGGCCCCTGCACCCTTGTGGGAGACCGGGAAGAAGCTCCTGGCTCCTAGCTTCAGCCTGGCCCAACCCTGGCCATTGTGGCCACTTGGGGAGTGAACCACTGGATGGAAGACCTCTCTGTCTCTCCCTCTCTCTGTAACTCCACCTTTCAAATAAGTAAAAAAAAAAAAAAAAACCTTTAAAAAAATTTAGAGTACTACATGTAAGCCAGTAAAGTCTGTTTGTATGGCATGAAATTAACCTATATTACAGTTTCTCCAAGGTACAGATTACAGATCTTGAAAAAGATTTCAACTATTTCAGGCATCTACCTCTTACTTGTATAAGACAAGAGCAGGGAACCTTTTTTCTGCCAAGGGCCATTTGGATATTTATAGTATCATTCACAGGTCATACAAAATTATCTACTTAAAAATTAGCCAGCAACAGATTTATTAAACTTCAAGTCCCACCTGGGCAGGGGCAGACCAAATGATATCACAGGCCTTAAATGGCCTGTGGGCCAGACACATTTCCCACCACTGTTGTACACCCTCCTCATTTACATACTCAGAAAGGTTTCAGGATGGGTTGAGGTGGGGGCATCACAGGTATGTAGCACAGCAGTTAAACAGCCACTTGGGACACCATCACCTATATCAGACTGCAAGGTTTGAGTCCACTAAATAGATCCTATTAATATGCACCTTGGGAGGCAGCAAGTGATAGCTTGAGTACTTGGGTCCCTGCCACCCACATGGGAGATCCAAATGGGATACTTGGTTCCTGGCTTTGGTGGGCATTTGAGCAGACTGGAAAACTCTCTGCTTTTCAACCAAAATATTTTTTAATTTTTCCTATATATTTTTCTTTAAATATTTATTTATTTATTTGAAAGGCAGAGTTTTAGAGAGGCAAAGGGAGAAAATAAGGTCCTCCATCTGCTGGTTCACTCCCAAAATGGCCACAATGGCCAGAGCTGGGCTGATCCAATGCCAGGAGCCAGAAGTTTCTTCCAGGTCTCCTACATGGATGCAGAAGCCCAAGGACTCTAGAGAGCCAGACCAGAAGTGGAGCAGCCAGGACTTGAACCAGAGCCCATATGGGATGTTGGCACTGCAGATAGCAGCCCCACCCACTACACCACAGTGCTGGCCCCAATAAAAATTTTTTTTAAATAGAGGTTTGGGGTTTTTGGGGTTTTCTAACTTTATTTCATTGTTCTATTAATTTTCTTTTTTTTTTTAAAGATTTATTTACTTGAAAGGCAGTTACAGAGAGGCAGAGGCAGAGAGCTATATGAGAGATAAAGAGAGGTCTTCTACCAGCTGGTTCACTCCCCAGATGGCCCCAATGGCTGCAGCTGAGATGATCCAAAGCCAGGAGCCAGAGGCTTCTTCCAGTTCTCCCACATGGGTGCAGGGGCCCAAGGACTTGGGCCATCTTCCACTGTTTTCCCAGGCCATAGCAGAGAGCTGGATTGAAGTGAAGCAGCCAGAACTTGAACCAGCGCCCATATGGGATGCCAGCACTGCAGGCAGCAGCTCCACCTGCTACGCCATAGTGCCAGTCCCATATTAACTTTCCTAAAACTTTATATTATTTGAAAGGCAGAGTTACAGAGAGAGAGAGAGAGAGAGAGAGAGAGAGAGAGATCTTCTATCCTCTATTCATTTTTAAAATGCCTTTAATATTCCTTTACAATAAGCAAAGGAAAAAAATCAAGTAACTTGAGCTTACCATTGTGGCACAGAGGATTATGCTGCTGCTCAGGACACCCAAATCCCACACTAAATGCTGATTTGAGTCCCACCTACTGTGCTTCTGATCCAGCTTCCTGCTAAAGAATCCTATGAGGCAGCAGGTGATGGGTCAAGTACTTGGGCCACTACCATCCACATGAGAGATCAGATGGAGTTCCAGACTCCTGGTTTCAGCTTGGCCCAGCCCTGGCTGCTGTAGGCATTTACAAAATGAACCAAAGGATGGAAGGTTTCTCTCTCTGTCTCTCTTTCTCTCTCCCTCCTCTGTCACTCTGCCTTTAAGTAGATGAAAATAAACATTTTAAAATAAATAAATAACTTGCTTAAAATAATATAGTTAATAAATGGCAGGACCATGATTTGCATTGAACAACCTGATTTCAAAATCTATTTATTCCTACTTCTAGCTATCTCCCTAAGACTGGTGGCATTCTTGCACCTATACATATTGACACGAGAGGATGCCATCACCTAAAACTTTGCACCTCTTTTACAATACTCCTCTCTCATTGTTCCTAAGATAGTTAATACCTAGCACTGCCATAGCATAAAACATCATATGATGATCCCTACTAACCAATTATTTGCTTTTACTTGTGGACACCTTAAGAATACTGCATGTTGGGGCCTGCACTGTGGCACAGTGGGTTAATGCCCTGGTCTGAAGCGCCGGCATCCCATATGGGCGCTGGTTCTAGTCCCAGCTGCTCCACTTCCAATCCAGCTCTCTGCTATGGTCTGGGAAAGCAGCAGAAGAAAGCCCAAGTCCTTGGGCCCCTGCACCCATGTGGGAGACCCGGAAGAAGCTCCTGGCTCCTGGCTTCGGATCAGTGCAGCTCCAGCCGTTGTGGCCAATTGGGGAGTGAACCATTGGATGGAAGACCTCTCTCTCTTTCTCTCTCTCTCTCTGCCTCTCCTCTCTCTGTGTAACTCTGACTTTCAAATAAATAAATCTTTAAAAAAAAGAATACTGCATGTCTATTTATCTTCAAATCTCCACAAATATAGCAGCTGTCCTGTAGTCTTAATAAACACCTACTGACTCAATCAATGGGCTCTCATGTTCAACCAGTAGCAATTCACAGAACAGAAAGCACAGTGGAAAGAAAACAACCAGCCTCTCTTGGGCTGCCCTAACATTTCGCAATGTCAAGTATCTAAGCCAGAGAAAGAACAGATCATATTACCTCGGAAAATTCATACAGTTCCATCTTCACACAGCTCTTATCTCACTCTACTAGAGGCTTAGTCCATTTCTAGCCTATTATCAGCTACTTCCTAACACTAAACCACTTGTCATAGGTAATTTCCTAATCCTATTTTTATGGCCAAGTAGTATAAAACTTGAGCACAAACACAGAAGAGAAATTTGTTTCACCTACCGCTCACTTCCTGGTGTAGTAATTCTATAAAAGCGATGCCTTAAATGATGTTTATCTCCATGATAACAAACTGTGCACAAATCATAATTTGTACATTCTGCACATTTCCATCTAATGCCAATGATTGGTTGCTGGCGGCAGGTATCACACATGGTTCCATCATGCTTGATGCCTATTAAAATACAGATATGTGCTTACATTAATTACATATATTATTTATTTGAATATTACTCCAGGGGTGGGGATAAGGAATAAGAACAAAGCATTTTGTAAAATATTTTAATAAAGAGGGAAAAACATTTCAAATATACCACATAATGTTTCAAAATATCAGATCTGAAACATATTAATCAAAATTATAAACTTAACCTTTTCTCTCCCCTCTTTTTTCATTAGTAAGAATACAGCTCAGTAGCACTCTATTTGCTCTCACCCACAAACTGAAATTTAGGTTCAACACACAGAAAGAAGACTCCTTTACCACCACGTAGCTGATTCAGACTGCAAAAACTCAGGAATCTTTGGAAGAATTTCAATCTATTTTCCAGGTAAACAATAACTTTAAAATAAAAGTCAATTTTATCCTCATGGCCTCAGGCAACATTAACTTAAGCATTTATCCCTAGATATTGACAAACTTTTGCATAAACAATAAACGTTAGAAAATGATTAGCAAGCACATTTTCCTAAAGGAAAATAATACACTATGATGTGGGTTTTCCCCCTTACAGACTAAGTAATAATAAAATCGAGTAATAATAAAATTGAGAATAAACACTTGGTAAGATGACCTCTTTTAAAAACGCTTACACAGTAGAAGATGGCCCAAGTCCTTGGACCCCTGCACCCATGTGGGAGACCCATAAGAAGCTCCTGGCCCCTGGCCTCTGATTGGCACAGCTCCGGCCATTGCAGCCAACTGGGGAGTGAACCATCGGATGGAAAACCTCTCCCTCTCTGCCTCTCCTCTCTCTGTGTAACTCTGACTTTCAAATAAATAAATAAATAAATCTTTAAAAATAAATAAAATAAAAACGCTTATATACATGGATGAGACGGATGTTAGAACTATAAAAATACCACTATAAAGTATGAAAATAACTTTTGTTTTAAGGTAATAGGATTGATGGTAATGCTCCTTCACTATTTTGTCATATTCATATAACTTGTTACATATATTAAAGCTAAGATATTTTAAAATAACGTGTGGCTTATGAAAATCAGTGTCACTGCTTTGGTTTACAAAGCATGGATGGTCAAGCTGAATGCTAACATACAAACAAGAGCTATATTATACATATAAGAGTGACATTCTCCTGGATTCAAATGATTCCATCATGATTCTGTTATGATTATGATTTGTGCCCTTGAAAAGGTCATTTTAGGGGCCAGCATTGTGGTACAGTGGGTTAAAGACAGCCTGGAGTGACGGCATCCCATTTGGGTACCAGTTCAAGTCCTGACTGTTCCACTTCCAATCCAGCTCCCTGCTAATGAGCCTGGTAAAGCAATAGAGAATGGCCCAAGTGCTTGGGCCCCTGCACCCATGTGGGAGACTTAGAAGCTCCTGGCTCCTGGCTTCAGCTTGGGCCAGCCCCAGTCGATGTGGCCATTTGGGAAGTGTCTCTTTACCTTTCAAATAAATGAAGTCTTTTTTTTTTTTTAAAGTCATTTTAACTTAAGTACTTAGATATATAATACTACAAATATTAAAAATATTAAATTAATTTTAAAAGCAAGGAACCCTTTTCACTCTTTTGAATCTCAGTCCACTTTGGAAAAGGCAGTATGTGGAGCCAGCACTGTAACACAGCAGGTTAAATCATCACCACCTGCAATGCTGGCACACCATATAGGCACTGGTTTGTGTCCCACCTGCTCAACTTCCCAGCTAGCTCTCTGATAAAGCACCTGGGAAAGTAGCATAAATGACCCAAGTATTTGGGTCCCTGTACCCTTATGGGAGACCCAGAAGCAGCTCCTGGTTTCAGCCTGGCCCAGCCCTGGCTGTTGAGGCCATTTGGGGAGTGAACCAGCAGATGGAAGACCTTTCTATCTTTCCCTCTCTCTCTCTCTAACTCTGCCTAAATAAAATAGATCTTAAAAGAAAAAAAAAGGCAATCTGTTCTTTAGGTTAGGCAAGACATTCTAAAAATCAAATAGGAATACATGATATAAGCAAGAACTAGGATATATAAGTAGAGATACTACCAAGTTCTTTAAGAACTAATATACCATCATTGCTATTTCCTGACCAGAAGGGAGAAGACCTGTATTATTCATTTTCCAGGTTCAGGTGACTAGATTTTAAACAAAGAGCCAAACTTGAACATAAGCCTCCGTTTGAGGTGAGAAGGTTAATGGGAAAAAAGAAAGGAGGCAAGGCAGAAGGGAAAACATCACGAGAGAAAAGTTGGGATCCCCAGTGGACTAGAAAAGAGAATGATCAATCAACACCAACATGTTTTATGTGCAGTCTCCTGCCATACAAATGCTTGACCATAGTGGACATCACTGTGCACTGATTAATTCAGAACTACACTTTTACTCTTACTGTGGGCATGCCCTCTGCTGCCTTCAAGTATCACTCTTGCTGTAGTGTGGAAAACAGCAAGGAAGCAGAAGTGGCTAGAGAAGGGAGTCAAGTTATAAGAAGCCTATGTCACTCCAAGTAAGATAAAGGTAGTTTAAGTCAAGGTGGTAATAGTAGATGTTAAATTACAGAAATAGAGTAAAGGGATATTTAGGACCTAGTGGCTGTGAGTCCAGAGATTAACAGATGTAGAAGGTATAAATGAGAAACCAAAAATAAGGTTACCCAAGAGAAAATAAATAGGTACATATTCAAAATATTTAGGAACAGGTAATTACCCAGTTCAATAAGCTGAAAACTAGAACTGCTCTGCTTAAAAACAAGGGAGTCACCAAGAAAAAATAAATAAGAACGTGCTAATTAAAAAGAACAAGCTCAGGAGGCTGGTGCTGTGGTGTAATGGGTAAAGCTGCCACCTACAATGCCAGCACCCCATATGGCCACTTTTCTGAGTCCTGGCTGTTCCACTTCTGATCCAGCTCCCTCCTAATATGCCTGGGAAAGCAGCAGAGGATGGCCCAACTGCTTGGGCCCCTGCATCCTTGTGGATGACCTGGATGAAGCTCCTGGCTTCTGGCTTTGGCCTGGCCCAGCCCCAGCCATTGCAGTCACATGGGGAGTGAACCATTGGATAGAAGATCTCTCTATTTTTCCACTCTCTTTCTCTCTGTAAATCTAATTTCAACTTAACAAAATAAATTAAAAAAAAAAAAAAAAAAAAAAGGAAAACCTCAGTTTCCAGTGATAAAAAGAAAATCTTCTAAAAGAGTAAACCAGAGGAGCAGGCATTTACACTCACAGTTAAGATGCCCACGTCTCATCAGAGTATCAATTCCCAGCTCCAAAACCTGACTCAGGCTTCCTACCAAAGCAGACTTTAGGAGGCAACAGTGATGGTTCAAGTAGTGCGTTCTCACCACCCATGTGGGATACCTAGACGGTGTTCCTTGCTCCCAACTCCCAGTTTTGGCCTCAGTCTAGCCTTGGTCATTGCAGGCAGTTGGGAGTGTGTTTCTTTCTCTCTCTCTCTCTCTCTCACTTGGTGAGAGAAACAGCAGATGATTCTCTCAAAATTTTTTAAAGATTTATTTGAAAGGCAGAGTTACAGAGGCAGAGGCAAAGACAGAGAGGTTCTCCATCCACTGATTCACTCCCCAAATGGTCACAATGACTGAAGCTGGACCAATCCAAAGCCAGGAGCCAGGAGATTCTTTTTGAGTCTCCCACGTGGGTACAGAGGCCCAAGGACTTGGACCATCTTCCACTGCTTTTCTAGGGCATAGTAGAGAGCTGCTTAGGAAGTAGAATAGCCAGGACTCAAATTGGCACCTATATGGGATGCTGGCACTGCAGGCCACGGCTTTACTCGGTACACCACAGCTCCAGCCCCCTGAAATAAATTTTTAAAAAAGAAACTAAATCAGAAAAAGGACAAGGAAAAGTTTCACAGAAATGATGGACACGGGGCCAGCGCCATGGCCTAGAAGGTTAAGCCCCAGCCTACAGTGCTGCCATTATACGTGGGCACCAGTTCAAGTCCCAGCTGCTTCACTTCTAATCCAGTTCCCTGTTAAAGCACCTGGGAAAGCAGCAGAAGATGGCCCAACTCCCTGGACCCCTGCACCCATGTGGAAGACCTGGATGAAGGTCTTGCCTGGCTCCTGCTTCAGCCTGGCACAGCTCTAGCCATTATGTTCACTTGAGGAGTGAACCAGTGGATGGAAGATCTCTCTCTGTCTCTCCTTCTCTCTCTCTGTAATTCTACCTTTCAAATAAATAAATAAATCTTTAAGAAAGAAAGAAAGAAAGAGAAATAAATAAACAATGGACAAAGAGACCTTTCAAAGACTTCAAGAAAAAACAACAGAAAAGCAGAATGTGTTCAATGAACCAAGAGCAACTTTACTAAGTAGGAACATGAAATATAATTAGAGACTTAGAGATCAATTAGAGTCAGGACGGGAAATGGCAAGTTCAGACATGATTTCTGAACTGTATATTTAAACTTCTATATTTAAATGATAAACACAAGGGTATGTGATTTAAGAACCTAGTTCTATAACTTATCAGCTATACAACATTCAAAATCAACCTAAACTGCTCTAGAACCACTATTCTCATCTATAAACTCAGAAAACATTTCCATTCCTACAGAAATCATCATCATGCGGTTAAAGTGATATATAGGTAAACACATTCTAAAAGGCTTCAAAGCAAACGGTAAACATTCAGAATTATGCTGCACTTAATTTAAATATACTAGTTATCTATTTAAACAACTTAGTGGTCAAAATCATCTCATATCACAGGTAAATTCTGCAATATTTATACAAAAATCAAAGAACTAAAAGTTCTCAATTTCTCAGACTTCACCTAGGGAACATTGAATTATTCATGTGTGAGTTACCACCATTTTAGCAAATTGCCTACTTCTCCATCACCATTCTCAGCTTTTGTCCCCAAAGCTTATGGCTTACCAGGGGCTGCATCTATCTTTTCAGTTCAATTATTTTTCACTGCAGAACAGCATCAGTTGAGACACAACAGCCACATGAAATAGCACTACACACCACTAGGTG